GGTTTATGCAGAACCATCCACACTTTTTGAGGGGCCGAATACAGAGACCTGGTGCACTACGTGTCACAGGGTCCCCAAACGACCCTCCGGAGATTCTGAATTCAGGGTTGTCTTTCTCCTAGACCAGTTGCCCTCCAAGGCTATAGAAGCCAACTTGTCCTGCTATTTATCCATAGCTGGAGAGAGACGAAGAGGATTCATACCTTTCTCAAGGGTATTAGCCCGTGCTAAAAATAAGTAGACATAGTGTTAGTAATTTATTTAATCATATATATATATATATATATATATATATATATATATATATATATATATATGCCTTATTAATAAAAACAATAAAAAAACAGGACTTAATAATATTAACTTTGAACATGGACATATCTTGACTGTGTTTTGAAAAAATGAAAACATTTTATAAAACATACATACAACAAACTATTTCTTATTTAAAAGTTAAGATATTTAATCCTTGAAAATGGCTAAATGTACAGTCGAAAGCGTTTGGATAAAAAGAACATTCGGACAGTTTGTATATAATTTATCATCCGAAAATAAAAAAAATTATTAGATCGCATGAGAAATTGTATAAAAAAAACTAAATAAAAGCACATTGTCTGTCGTATTCAATGAAATGTGCATGAAAGAACGATTGCTGAAAAACACACACACACACACACACACATACATACACACACACACACACACACACACACACACACACACACACATATATATATATATATATATATATATATATACCAAATCCGTAGTTGGTAGGGATTCACACACACACACACACACACACACACACACACATATATATATATATATATATATATATATATATATATATATATAGTCTTAAAGTGTGCTATATTTAGGGGATAAAGTGCTCAATATCAGAGATAGAGCGTGTGTAAATATAAAAGTGAACATTTAAATCAACACTTCGAGGCGACAGTCTGTTTCATGCTAGATGCAATCGTTAGGCCAGACGATTGCGTCTAAATGAAACAGCCTGTCACCCATAAGTGTTGACTTCAATGTTCACTTTTTTATATATATATATATATATATATATATATATATATATATATATATATATATATATATGGGGTGAGTGTAAAAGAAACAATGCAGTTATTAATAAGGACAGAACAGAAATGAATGCATGGAAGATTTCACAGCTTTAGAATCACTCCTTCATAGTTAGCCTATGAACTTTTCAGCCCATCCTCTTATATGATAATACGAGGTCCTGAGAACACTAGCTTAAATTTATTGATCGTAATAACAAAGGTAATTAGGTTAGGTTTGTTAATTTAATGACATATCAACATTTGTTCGGTTATTTAATGTCAAATATAAATGGTTGGATTTATGTCTGGGTCTACACGAAAACATGAAATTAGCTACAATCATAAAAAGACACAATATGTAGAGCGTTACATACGCTTCATAATCTTCTATGTGTCGTTTCCCTTCAGCACTTAGTTGATCATGGCCCTGCACAACTTCCAGTCCTATGTAGCTCTTAATAAAGTTTGTCTTTCTGTTATTTCTCCTAAACCTTGTTCCGCCATCCATTTACTGAAGCACACTAAGTAGGTCACGTGTTGTTTTCCTCTGTCCTTCTTGTCTTCAATCTGTCTTGTGAGTATCAGATTTTCCAAACCTTCTTTACTCAATATGTGCCCTAGAAATTTCAACTTCCTCTGCCTGGTGTTGCATATAAACTTCAATTTTGCCTCCATTTTCTCTAAAACTTTGTCGTTGCTCACATGTTCGGGCCATGATATTCTCAGAATCCTTCTGTTGAACCACATTTTTGTGAGAAGGTTGTTCAATATTCACTGTCATATAAGAGGACTAATATTGCATAACCGTTTCTTTGTTTCTTTTGCTTCAAGTCTCTTCTTCCTCTGTGAGAAGATTGTCCAGCATTTATTGCCATATAAAAGGACTGATATTACGTAACTGCTCGATACTCTTTTCTTTGTTTCTCTTGCTTCAAGTCTCTTCTTAATCTGTGAGAAGATTGCCCAGCATTCACTGCTATATCGGAGGACTGATATTACATAACAGCTCAGTACACTTTTCTTTATTTCTCTTGCTTCAAGTCCCTTCTTAATCTGTGAGGAGATTGTCAAGTATTCACTACCATATAGGAGGACTGATATTACGTAACAGTTCAGTACTCTTTTCTTTGTTTCTCTTGCTTCAAATCTCTTCTTCATCTGTGAGGAGATTGTCCAGCATTCACTACCATATAGGAGGACTGATATTACATAACAGCTCAGTACACTTTTCTTTATTTCTCTTGCTTCAAGTCCCTTCTTAATCTGTGAGGAGATTGTCAAGTATTCACTACCATATAGGAGGACTGATATTACGTAACAGTTCAGTACTCTTTTCTTTGTTTCTCTTGCTTCAAGTCCCTTCTTCATCTGTGAGGAGATTGTCCAGCACTCACTGCCATAAAGGAGGACTGATATTACGTAACAGTTCAGTACTCTTTTCTTTGTTTCTCTTGCTTCAAATCTCTTCTTCATCTGTGAAGAAATTGTCCAGCATTTACTCTTATAAGGGAAGATAGATATTAGATAGCAGCTCAGCACTCTTTTCTTTGTTTCTAATGAAATTTTCTTGTTTCTTAATACTTTACTTAGTTTTTGGAAGACAACTTTTGCTATTTCTTTGAATTTCTGTGTCACATTTTCACATTGTTTGCTTTAATGCTTCCGAGTTAATTTTCTCTACTTGCTTAATACTGGCATCCCCAGTTTGTAGCTTGCATCTTCGTCTGCCCTTTTTGCTTGCAACTATAATATTCTGTCTATTTACAATAGATACTTAAACCTTTCTTTCAGCTTTCTACATTTTTTAGAACAGAATTTCCCAATCAGCAGGTAATTCCCCAGCCAGGGGAAAATTTCAGTGTTTCAGTTGTGGGAAGGTCTTTTACTTTTTCTTATTTTTTATTTACAGAATTTTGTTTATTTAATTACAAATACCCTGGAATTCTGTTGAACTTTTTTGTTTATTGAAATATGCTCACATAGAAGTATGTTTATTGAAGTATGCTTCAGTTTATTTATTTTATAATTATTTATGAATTTGGTATGTCCCGGAAAGGGATATATTTGTTCAAAGTAGCAAAGTGGTTGTTGACTACTGTAACCCAATAGGAAAATCTAGCAGGTAACTGGTCCTCGTCGTAGTGGTAGGCAATAGGCATAGGCAATAAGCGTCCTCTTGTATCTTCACATCAGTCTGTATTTATGGCTGACACCAGTCAATCATATTACTGTGAGGGGGAACCCAGGTGTATGCATATTCATTACATCAGAATTAAAACAAATTAGTCTACATGTATTCAAATTTAAAAATTCATCAACAAATTCTATTACTATTAAATTTGTAAAAATCCTCTAAAAAAAAAAAGTATTATCTCCAAAAATAAAATAAATCTGCATATAAAATATTTAGGTTTTGGCATTATATAACCCACAGAGATGTTGAATAAGCATAAAACAGCCAATTTTTTATAAAAAAAATAAATAAATAATCCATATAAATGTCTATGTACTAATATGTAAAAGAATGAAGATTTTCAATAATATATGCATATTATTTGGAATGTACCTTTTGAGTTGAACAATCTCAGAAATGGCACAGAGAGAAATTCTGACTTAGGGTGAAAAGAATAAAGATTAGGCAAAAAATGTTGAGAGTCATTGAAGTTCCTGCAGTTTTCTTTGTGTCTGCCAAACACATCGATAATAAATCCTGGTAGGACTTCTACTACAAGATAGTAGTAAAAAATTAACAATGCTTTATCCTTTTTATGTTATTTGTCTCTAGACAATTGTCCTGAGCTTTGTTGTTATAATCACAATGTTTCGACCATCTTATCCATGACCCTTCATCAGGCGTTTGTCTTCTAACAATTGTAGCAAAAATGTCAGCTTCAAATTCAACCCCAAACTTATTGATCCACTCTTATGTGTCTCAGAATGGTTATTTTATAAGCATAGATTAGATATTACACAAGGCTGAAAGTATGGGTCACCTAGTGAGGATCAAATTTACTTTTGTCATAACTGATCTAGCGGGACAAGCTTGCAAACCATTACACCATGCTGAGGTGCCTTAATGGTTATTTTCCAAGAATAGCTTAGATGTGGCACAAGGCCGAATGTATGGAGCACCTAGTGAGAATCGAACATGATTTTGCCATAACTGATCTAACGAGACAAGCTTGCTAACCATTACACCATGGCAAGGTACTGGAAATGATTTTCTAAGCATAGCTTAGATGTGGCACAAAGCCAAAAGTATAGTGCACCCAGAAATGATTTTTTTAAGTGTAGCTTAGTGTGGAGCACCCAGTGAGGATCGAACTCACTATTCAGTCATAATACATCTAGCAAAGCAAGCTTACTAACCATTACACCACGTCAAAGTGCCCTAAATTATTTTATTTTAGCCTAGCTTAAATGTGGTACAAGGCCGAAAGTATGGTGCACCCAGTGAGGACTGAACTCACTATTCAGTTGTCATCGTCCTAGCAAGACAAGCTCGTTAGCCATTACACTACGTTGAAGTGCCCTATGTGTCTCAGGATGAACAGGAAATAAATTTGATTTTTCCTTTTGGAAGAATCATTTTTAGACTTTTTAGATTTCTTTCTTTCTAACGTTTCCTCATCAGATTTTTTTTTCCCCTTGGTGCTATTTTGTGTGCGAACAACTTCGTTATATTGACAAATAATCAGACTACACACACACACACGCAGACACACACACAGGCACACAGACACATATGTAATGGCAATCACCAGTTAAGGAGTGGCTGCGACAATATTAATAATTATGAACTACTGATGTTATGATAGCAGAAGTCTAAGGCTAACTACATGTGTGGCAATCATTAATTAGCAACATCTGATTTTCAGGGTAGGTATATACGTTATTCATTTATTTCTTCCTCATTAATACATGAATCTATCTATCACTAACCTTCTTTCTTTCTGTCTCTCTCTCTCTCTTTTCTATCTATTAATATTCTATCTGTCTATCTATCTATCAATCCATGTCCTTTTTCATTTCTTTCTATCTATCTAGCTATCTATCTATTATATTTTATCTATTTATCTGTCTGTCTATTGTCTGGGTTATCTATCTATCTATCATTCTACTATCTATCTATCTATCTATGCCCTTCTTTCTCTGTTTCTATCTATCTATTAATAATCTACATATCTATCTATCTGTCTATCATAGTCTTTTTAATATCTATCTATGTCTATCTATCTATCTATCTATCTATCTATCTATCTATCTATCTATCTATCTCAGTCTTTTCATCTATCTATCTATCTATCTATCTATCTATCTATCTATCTATCTTTTCATATCTATTTATCTATCTATCTATCTATCTATCTATCTATCTATCTATCTATCTCATTTTCATATCTATTTCTATCTATCTATCTATCTATCTATCTATCTATCTATCTATCTATCTATATCTCATTCTCTATCTATCTATCTCATCTATTTATCTATTTATCTTTCCATTTATCTATGGTCTTTTCGCTATTGTAACCTAGTTAATAACTATCTATCTACATAACTATCTGTCACTGCCCTTCTTTCTCTCTTTCTATCTATCTATTAATAATCTACATATCAATATGTCTGTCTATCATAGTCTGGTTAATATCTATCTATCTATCTATTCTGGTCATATCTATCTATCTTTCCATTTATCTATGCCCTTTTTGCCATCTATCTATCTATCTATCTTTCACTGCTTTTTTTCTATCTTTCTTTCTTTCTATCTATCTATTAATATTTTATCTATCTATCCATCTGTCTGTCTATTTATCTATCTATTAATATTTTATCTATCTCTCTATCTATCTATTAATATTTTATCTATCTCTCTACCTAACTCTCTATCTATCTACCACTGTCCTTTCTTTCTTTCTTTCTTTCTTTCTTTCTTCACATCTATATTCAGTAGTCAAGAACAAACTCTGCATTTTCATTCTTTTTTGATTCTCTTTCACTAATCTTAGCATTTCCTCTCCTTTCCAATTAATATATCAAAACACTATTCACAAATAAAACTAAATCCAAAACTAGTAGTCATAGTATATTTATTAGCTATATTATTAGTATATTATTATTTATATTATTAGTAGTAGACTCCAACAAAAAACAACTGCTTCTCCCCCTTTTGGTTCACCTAAACATTTAGCCATAAGAAAAATGAAAATGACAAAGTTTTATTTTTCAAGCCAGAAAAGATATGACTTCTTGCTATTGGTGCCCTGTTTAATGTAAAAATATCTCCTCTGTTTTCCTATTGCGAAGTCTTTGTTTTCTTTGTTAAGTGTAAAATAATAAAAAAAAGAAAGAACAAGAAATTCTTATAGACATTTTTAGATTTAACTCGCTTAAAGTCAGCGACTTAATGGTAATGGGAAAATTAGCCATTTCCAGATAATTCATATCATTAATAATATTCCTAATATAATGAAAAGCAATTGAAATTAAGATGAAAGAAATACGAATCAAAAATTAATAATGGCTGACAATGTTTCATCTAATAGTAATAATAATAAAATTCAAGATAATATTACTACTAACACACCTGATATAACAAAAGCAATTGAAATTAAGATGAAAGAAATATGAGTCAAAAATTAATAATGGCTGACAATGTTTCATTCTTTAATAATAATATTCAAGATAATATTACTACTAACACACCTGATATAATGAAAGAAAGTAAAAGTAAGATGAAAGAAATACAAATTTATAAAAAATATTTATAATGGCTTACAATGCTTCATCAAATCATAATAAAATTCAAGGTAATTTTACTACTAACACTCCTGATACAATAAAAATCAAGTTAAGATGAAAGAAATAGCAGTCAAAAATTGATAATGGTTGTCAATGCTTCTTCTAATAGTAATAAAATTCAAGATAATATTACTACTAACACTCTTAATCTAATAAAAATCTTGTGAAATTAAAATGAAAAAAATATGTCAAAAATTAATAATGGCTGACAATATTTCATGTGATCAAAGCAAAATCAAAGTTTTTTTTTTTCCTTGGCTTGTTTTAAAGAAATGCCAAATTTAAATCTATGTTCCAGACATCAGGATGTTTTTTTTCTGTCTCTCATATTAGAATATTTTTCTCTCTTACATTTGGAATCAGAACTGATTCAATTTTTGGACAGGGGAAAAGTTGAAGTAATTCCCAAAACAAATAGAATCTACTAAAAGAACCTTAAAAAGTCTTAAAATAGTTGTTCTGATCTGGCTTGTTTACAATTGACCAAGTCTATCTTGGGTGCCATTTAACTTCCTTTCCCAGGTGGACTGTCCCAAATCTGACCAACCAGACATGTATATGCGTTTGTTTACAACCAAATCTAATAATACCATAATAAATGCAAGTAGATTCATTGCCTTCTATGCAAGGATTTTTGTGTTCTTTTTTGGCAGAGCATCACCCTGGTCTATTAGCTCTCTAAGGTCCAGATTTGTGTAAATGATTTTGTGTATAAGCTGAAGTCCAGCTAGTGGCACATATGCTTAGAGTTCTTACAAGTGAACCATTTCCAACATACCTTGTTGACACTCCTGGTCCTCAAGAGCCACTCAAGGTGGAGGGTCAGTGAATAAGGTGTGTAATATGAATGTAGGAAATTATGTTTATATTTTTGCTGCAAGCAAATGATTCAAAAACAATTCTTCTTGATAATCCTGGGAATTTTTTTTTTTTTTTTTTTTACTAATGTCTATCCAAAACAAGTCGCAAGAGCTATGCATGCAAACAAACCTACGCACATGTAGTGGAAGTAGAACAATCTACCCTGGCAGACAAAATAAGGGGTTCGTTTTGAAATCCCAATGTATATCTACTGAAGAAGGCTGGAGCATACAACAGCTGAAACATCTTGAATATAGCAACAAAGATGAGGAAAACCACCCCATTAAAATGTCTGATAGTCAACTTCTCGAGAGCAACTCCCTGCGTCTCCTCGGTCTCACGCTGACTGCTGACCTGAGATGGAACAAATACTTCTTTGAGTCAATTGCTTCTTCCCTTTCAGAAATTTTTTCTCCTCTGAATCGACACTTCAAATATACAAAACAACCATTCATCCTTGCATGGAGTATTGCTGCCATATAGGGTCTGGAGCACCTTCTGTTTTCCTCGGAGTTCTTGACAAGATCCAGAGACGGATATGTAATCTAATTGGCCCTGATCTGGCATCTCATCTGCAGTCACGTGATGTCGCCTCTCTCTGTTTTTTCTACAAATACTTCCATGGTAACTGCTCTAATGAGCTGCTCTCTCTGGTTCCCAGACTCCATGAATTCAAGCACCCTATGAGGCTGGCATCCTGCTCCCACCCTTACACTGTAGAAACTTTTAAATGTAGCCGTCTCTTCTACTCCAATAGCTTCATACCTCACACCTCTCACCAGTGGAACACCCTTCCCAATTACTGTTTCCCTGAAAGCTATAATCTCCAACTATTCAAATGTAATGTCAATCGACACCTCCAGTTAATTGATCTACCCACTATCCTTCTCCTCTTCCTTTCCTCTATCACTCCTATCCGCTCTTGCTCCAAATCTTCCACAAGCCCCTGCATCCTAGTGGCTTCATGCCTTGCTTGGGGCGTAATGCTTAAAAAAAATGAAAAATAAAAAAAATAAAGCCTTGTTGTTGGTCAGTTTCATAGTAAATATCAAAAAGAGATCTAAAAATTCTATATAAATCAAATGAAGTGTCTATCTATCAATCTATTATATTCATTTCTCAGAAACTACTGGATAGATTTCAACAAAATATGGCACACTGATAGGCCATGCCCCTGGAAGTGTCATAGACTATGTAAAGTTGATCTAAGTCAAAAGTTCACAATAATAATAGCAAGGGAGGTAAATCAGCATTTTATAGTAAATTAATTCATGGTTACTTCCCTTGGTTGTTTTAATAATCTATACAAATATAATGAAGTATTTATCTGTTTGTCTTTTTATTTAAACAAAATTAGTTTTCAAGCAACATTGGCTATATCTGCTAGCTTAAAATAAGAATGTGGCTTACTATTGGAAGGTCAAACAGTAAAATATTAGATACAGTAGCCAAAATGTATGTTCTAAATCTGATAATTATGCATGAAAACATTTTCATTTGCATAATAAAATATGATAATTGAATAATGGCTTAAGGCTCCTATTACAAACTATGGAGCCTATTTCCATTCAATGGAGAATTTATCTCATTATGGATGTGAGATAACAAAGTAACTTTATTAGGAGCAGATTGTCATGAACTAAGACGTACAAAACCAGATGTACAACAGAAAAAGTTTAAATGAGTTTAATTCTAATTTATCATGATCTGATAACTAGTGGGTGTGTCTAGGGCAAAATGACCTGACACATCCCCATCCTTCTTACAACCTATTTTTTTAGACTCATTATTAGTGTTGTGGGTACATAAATTGTACTGCAGCTACAACAGTAGTGATTGTGCCTAGATTGTAGTGACTTGACGTATTCCATTCTTTATATGACTTATGTCCTGTAGTTAATATAGTGACTACAACGTTTTGTTATCTATCTACTTTTCAATCTCTATTCATATCCATTTATGTATCCATCTGTGCCAAACTACACAAAAACATTTTCCTATCTATCTATCTATCTATCTATCTATCTATCTATCTATCTATCTCTCTATATATATATATATATATTTCATTCTGTTAATCTATCTGTCTATTTATATACCTAGCCATCTATCTCATTCTGTTAATCTATCTATCTATCTATATACCTAGCCATCTATCTCATTCTGTTAATCTATCTATCTATCTATCTATCTATCTATCTATCTATCTATCTCATTCTATTAATCTATCTGTCTATCTATATACCTAGCCATCTATCTCATTCTGTTAATCTATCTATCTATCTATCTATCTATCTATCTATCTATCTATCTCATTCTGTTAATCTATCTATCTGTTAATCTATCTGTCTATCTATATACCTAGCCATCTATCTCATTTTGTTAATCTATCTATCTCTATATATATATATATAAATTATTGGTGGTTGATATACACACATATACATATATATACATATATATATCTAAAATATATAAATACATACATATACATACATACATATAGAAATATATATAAAAAATTCCAAGAGGATAGAATCCAGGGAGAACTCAATGTCCAAGACAGAATAAGAATATAATAAAAAGGCTTAAACCCTAATATTCCATGATTATAATTTATTCCATTGGAATCATAAATACGATCCAATTCATCAGACCTACAAATTCAAAAAAGCTTTTTTGAATTTGTAGGTCTGATGAATTGGATTTTATTTATGATAAATTATAACCATGGAATATTAGTGTTTAAACCTTTTTATATATATATATATATATATATATATATATATATATATATATATATATATATATAGATATATATATAGAGAGAGAGAGAGATCCAAAATCATGACCAATTGCATACATACTAAATAAGTGTGCTACTAGGTTGGCGTCTCGGTCCCACCCTTTTACAGTCGAAACAATTAAATGTAATCCCCTCTTCTACTCCAACAGCTTCTTCTCTCGCACTTCCCAACAGTAAAACTCCCTTCCTCTTACTTGCTTCCCTCATAACTATAATCTTCAAAAATTTAAATGTAATGTCAATCGACATCTTCTGATGCCTTGATCTTGATCCACATCCTTCTCTTTATCCTTTGCTCAAACACCCCCCTCTTTACACTTAATTTCAATTTCTGTAACTCCTTGCAGGCTAGTGTCACTCCCGGCCTTGCTTACATTTCCTTGTTATGCTTTTTCCTGTCTAAAGAAACCCTTTTATTCAGAATAACTACTATCACAAAATAAAAGTTTCTATTTAGAAAGTTCTCTCAAAGGACTAAAAAGGAAATGAAAATACTCTTTCAGTGAGGAAGAGAGAAAATGGATTTGGGAAACAAAATCAGAAAGGAGTCTGCTGCTGCTTTGGTGAGAAAGACAGGATGACATTGTTTGACTCATGTCTTTTTACTGCCGTCAGTCTTTCTGCTAAGTTGAATGGATGTTTGATTTATATGTCTTCATGTATGTTTCCTGTAAGCTCTTCATTTATTGACATGAGCTGATTTTATTTGCTATTCTTTATTTTTATTAATTTGAAAATTTGAAATATGTTTAAATTGGTTCTGCATACAAAACATTAGACCTACCCACTTTACATTTTATCATGATGCCTTGATCTTGATCCCCATTCTTCTCTTTATCCTTTGCTCAAACACCTCACTTTACTGTTATTTTCACTTTCTGTAACTCCTTGTATGCTATTGACACTCCTGCCTTGCTTGGGGTGAAATGCTTTAAAAAAATATTACCTTTATTTGTTATGCTTTTTCCAGTCTAAAGAAACCCTTTTTATTCAGAATAAGAGCTTTTTCAAAGACATATCTGCAATAATGTTGGGGAAAGATTCCATGGGTCACCATTTGTTGAATAAAGAAAATGAGAGGAAAGATTATTCAAATAAAATAACAATATTTATTTAACGTAAAATACACAAATTCTTAACCGTAACTACTATCACAAAATAAAAGTTTCTATTTAGAAAGTTCTCTCAAAGGACTAAAAAGGAAATGAAAATACTCTTTCAGTGACGAAGAGAGAAAATGGATTTGGGAAACAAAATCAAAAAGGAACCTGCTGTTGCTTTGGCGAGAAAGACAGAATGACAAGGTTTGACTCATGTCTTTTTACTGCCGTCAGTCTTTCTGCTAAGTTGAATGGATGTTTGATTTATATGTCTTCATGTACGTTTCCTGTAAGCTCTTCATTTATTGACATGAGCTGATTTTATTTGCTATTCTTTATTTTTATTAATTTGAAAATTTGAAATATGTTTGAAACCTGAAAGCTGCACGGAGCCTTTGCAAGGCATGTTTATTTTTGCCATTTGATCTTTTGATTTGAAACTGTGAACTTCCGCTTACTCTACAATAATAACATTTCATGACCACAAAAATGAATTATGTTTCTTTAACTAAATTTTCTATATAATATTATTTTATGTTTTTATTTATGTCATTTTTCTCATTCCATAGACTTTTTTGTATTTTACAGAATATGTATTTGAGAAAAGTAATTATTTACCATATCAAATTAACTGTTTGTTAATTCTCTTTTAAAAGATATTTTTACAAAAATTTACCATCTTGAGTTTTGTATACACTATAAGCCAAAAGTTTGGGACCACCCTCAGGATTTAATAATTAAGTTTCATGCCTTCTTCCATTTAACTCCTACTAAGCTAGGATGCCGGAATTATTTAATCCATTAGTGTCCAATTTTTTAGAGAGGGGGATTACTTAAAATTTTAAATCCACCAGCCCTAAGATTACCATTAGCCAGCAAGGTAGATTAAGTAAAAAAGTTAAAATTTTAAGGAAACTTTATGCAGTAATAGGTTAATTTTATGATTATTATTGAATATATGATAAAACCCTTCAGGAAGACAAAATCCCTTAGGCTCCAAGAGAGCAAGTAAATTAGTTCTGAAAAAGCATGTATCCTTCAATTTTTAGGCAATTCTTCAAAAACAGAAAGTGTTTCCAAATTTTTGGCCTATAGTGTATGTCTTCTCTTAATGAGAATAGACAACAAAAGATTGCCTTGTCATTTTTACATAGTATTATATCAATTTCAGTCAGTTATGTGCCATTAGGTGATCATGTATGAACCTGCAGTAGGTTGCCATTTCTTTCTGGGGTAGACCAGTTGCCATCCAAGGCTATAGAACCAGATCTGCTCTGCTATTTACCCATAGATGGGAGGGAGAAGAGGATTCATACCTTCTCCAAGAGTATTAGCATGTCAGCCAGTCAGTTATGTATCATGCGTGATACACACTTTGGCAATCATGTATCTTTGAATACATGACTGACGAGGCAGATTTTTCCTGCAATAGGTTGCCACATCTTTCTGCGGTAGACCAGTTGTCATCCAGGGCTATAGAACCTGGTCTGTCCTGCTATTTACCAATAGCTGGGGCAGAAGAAGAGGATTCATAGCTTTCCCAAGGGTACTAGGACATCAGTCAGTCAGTTATGTGCCATACATGATACACGCTTAGGAGATCATGTATCTTTTGATACATGACTGACGAGGTAGATTTTTTTTCCCACAATAGGTTACCATTTCTTTCTGCGGTAGACAAGTTGCCATGCAAGGCTATAGAACCTGGTTTGTCCTGCTATTAACCTATAGCTGGAGGGAGAAGAAGAGGATTCATACCTTTCCCAAGGCTATTAGAATGTAAGTAAATGTCATGGATTTGACTGGAATTTAAACTCAGCTCTTGAATTCCTCAATTCGAGCCACTAGCAATTACTCCACTGTGCCTCCTATTATATCAATTTAGGATTTTAAATTTAGTGTTTAAAGATCTTGTTTCTTTATAAGGAAATTACTTTAACTGAAGCAAAAATTACATCCTAAATTGTTGACTGGATTCACCTGCTAAATTTGATTCTGAAAAGTTGTGTCTGAATAAATATGAATTCACTTTGATTCAGTTTTGCTTCAACATTAGTTTTCCTGTTTTTAAAGATACAAAATGTGATTTTATATTTCAGGAATCTTTTTTTCAAGATATTGATTTACTTCAGAATCATGGCATTGATTAATATAAATAATTAGTAAGTCATTAATTAATAATATAAAAAATAATAATAATTAAAAATTAGTAAGTTTCAAAATAATTACTAAGTTTCATGCCTTCTTTCGTTTGATTCACTCCTACTAAGTTAGGATGCTGGAACTATTGGTGTTTGGTGTCCATTTTTTAGAGGTGGGGTACCTAAAATTTCAAATCCACCAACCCTAATAAGTACCATTAGCCAGCAAGGTAGATTAGGCAAAGTTTTGTGATGTATGGTAGCCATTAATAATTAAGTATAACTCAAGACTTCAATATTAGAATAAAACAGTATTTAATTAAAACCACAAATAAATACTTAACAAGAACAAAGAAGTAAAAGTCAACCAAAGATGATTAACCATTTCAATGGATACCTTTTTAGTAGGGCAGCTCGGCTTAATGTCTGGTAAATCCTAAACCAAAACCCAAATCATCGATGCATAATAATTCACACTAATTCAACCTGGATAGTCCCACTCAATAATCACTGCAGTCAGTAGCCTGACACCGCTATTTATACACCTGGTGGAAAACATATGTGCATAAGTGCAGAGTGTCACACTAGAACCACGTTGTCGGTAGTTACTCATTTTCTTCCTATCTGACAATATATATATATATATATATATATATATATATATATATATATATATATACATACATACATATAATTATAGATAACTAGACTCGTTTCGAAAAACCCTCGAATTTTTGATTTGCTAATAAATCAATCTCGGGGAAAAAAAGGTTTTAAAAAAAGAAAGAGCTACAAACATGAACTTCTGCCGACAAAAAAATCGCACAGATGCAGGTCTGAAGCCCAAAGAAAAAACCCCGATACGAGCCTTACTTTCCCTGACGATCAGTTTAGGCGAAACCTAGGTGTATCTATATATATATATATATATATATATTGTGACATACAATGGCCGTTAATAATTAAGTATAACTCATGACTTCAATGTTAAAATAAAACAGTATTTAATTAAAACCACAAATAAATACTTAACAAGAAGAAAGAAGTAAAAGTCAAGCAAAGATAATTAACGATTTCAGTGAAGACCTTGTTGGTAGCATGGCTCGAGTTAACGTCCGGTAAATCCTAAATCAAAACCCAAATCATTGACACATGATAATTCACACTAATTCAACTGGATAGTTCCACTGAATAGTCACTCAATAATCACCGCAGTCAGTAGCCTGACATCGCTATTGTATAAATAGCGGTGTCAGGCTGCTGCCATAACCTGGCAGCAAACATATTCATAAGTACAGAGTGCCACGCTCAAACTTCGGTGACGGTAGTTACTCATTTTCTTATACCAGATTTATTCAGCTTCTACAGTGATGTGATTCTGAGAGAATTAGAATTCCTGCCAGGATTATTAGCAGCCAGAATCTTAACAACATAAGATATACAGATGACACAGTGTTGATAGCAGACACAAGAAGAAAACTACAAAAACTCCCACAGAAGATAGTAAAGGTAAACGAGAAGAAAGGACTAAACATCATTTCTAAGAAAACAGAAAGTGTGACTGTCGGTGAAAAGTGGAGTCCAATATACGAATTACAAATTGGAGATGCCAAAATCAATCAAGTAAAATAATTAGGAAGTTTTTTAAAAGAGGACAAGAAATATGACGCAGAAATCCAAAGGTGTATTGGGATAATAAAAATTTCCTTCCAAAAGCTAAGCAAAGTATTAAGAGACATGAAATTCATATATATATATATATATATATATATATATATATATATATATACTGTGATGTACGATGGCCGTTAATGACTAAGTATAACTCAAGACTTCAATGTTAAAATAAAACAGTTTTTAATTAAAACCACAAATAAATACTTAACAAGAAGAAAGAAGAAAAATTAACCAAAGATAATTAACGATTTTAGTGAAGACCTTGTTAGTAGCACCACTTGACTTAACGTCCAATAAATTCTAAATCAAAAACCAAATCAATAATTCACACTAATTCGACTAGATAGTTCCATTCAATAATCACTCCAGTCAGTAGTCTGACACCACTATTTATACACCTGACAGAAAATACATATTCATAAGCCCAGAATGTCACACTCGAACCTCGGTGTCGGGAGTTACTCATTTTCTTCCCCTTTTTGAGACGACATCTCTAGAGTCTATATCTCTTCAGTTTGGGTTCAATATTCAAATGTTCCGTTGCTGTTCTTTTTCTTTTACAGTACCTCACTATATGCCAATGATTTGGCACCAAACTCTGTATTTAATAATTAGTAAGTTTCATGCCTTCTTTGATTTAATGAACTTCTACTAAGCTCAGATGCTGAAACTATTAAACATGCCATCCAATTTTTTTAAATAAACATTGCCAAAAATTTAAAATCCACCAACCCTAAGATGACCATTTGCCAGAAAGGAAGATTAGGCAAAAAGAACTAAAATTTAAGGAAACTTTATGCAAAAATGGGTTAATTTCACGATTATTTTTATTATTGAATAAATTATTATTATTGAATATATGAGAAAACCCTTAAGGGAGAGAATGTCCCTCTGGTTCAAAATAATTGAATTATATTTAACTAAATTTTGTGTATTTTAGTATTTTATGCTTTGATTTATAAATTGTATATACCTGTGTATCATATGATATTTGAAGAGCTAATTTTGAAGCTAACTTTAAGGGGGTCATATCGTACATGAGATATAAAATTAGTGTATTTACTTCTGGCCATGGCTACATTGTTGATCAACTTATATATCTATTTACTGTAGTTAAGTGAGTTTTAAAATTAGATCTTCAAAAGTCGCATAATATGTGAGTATATGCGTTTATTTATTTCATTCAAAATTCACCAAATTCTTGTTAGGTGGCGCTATTGTCTATAAAAGGCAAGTATTTTCTTTTTCTTCCTTTTGATGCAAGTTGAAACAGAATGTAGATGGGGATGTCCCTGCTGAGACACATTCTTTTCCCCGGTCAACTGACAATTGAACTCTTACACACATACACGTATCACACACACATACAAGCAGATTCTTAATAGCTAAGTTTTTAATGTCTTTTCCTTTCCTTTCAGCTGTGTAATTTCTTTTTGGTAATATATGCATTCATTGTTTGTTTAAAAACAATGTTTTGTGTCTTGTTTTTATCTGAACTTACATGAGTCTGCCAAATATTGTTTGCAGGAAAAATGTTTCAGGAGCCTTTAAATGTTTATGGAAAAATGTCTATATCTTGCAACAAAAGTGGTCAGTCCGACAACACATCTTATAATAAAATATAAATTAAGAAAACTTTACATAAATTTCCATAATTTTCTATGCTTATTATTAAATGTTACAATTTACTTTTTGTTTTCCCCAGTCTAAAGAAACTCTTTATTCAGAATAAGAACTTTTTCAGAGACATATCTGTAATAATAATATCTCAAAGTATTTATATCTATCTCTCCATCTATCTATTTCAGAGTGTCCATATCTATCTATCTATCTATCTATCTATCTATCTATCTATCTATCTATCTCAGTATGTTTATATCTATCACTCACAGACTGTTCATATTGGAGATAATTATAAATGACTGAAAAACGCTTACAAAAAGCAAAAAATAACTAAATGTTCATCATATTTTTAATTAGAATTCAACAGAAAAACATTAAACATGAATGCAGTCATATAAACATGTGTGTGTGAGCCCATTTGGTTTCACCAAACAATAGTTAGGTGGCGCTGTTTAAGGTCTATAAAAAGACAAAAAATTCTTTCCTCTTTCTCCAAGATGTAGCAGAATGTAAATGAGAATGTCCCTGCTGGAGCATGTTCATTTTCCTGGCCAACCGACAACGGAACTATGATAGGGAAGAACACACACACACACACACACATACACACACACACACACACATACACACACACACACACACACACACACACACACACACACACACACACACACACACACACACACACACACACACACACACACACACACACACATACACACACACATGCAAGCACATTCTTAATAACTAAGTTTTTAATGTCTTTTCCTTTCCTTTCAGCTCTGTAATTTCTTTTTGGTAATACATGCATTAACTGTTTGTTTAAAAACCATTTTTTTGTTACTTGTTTTTATCTGGGCTCACATGAATCCACCAAATATTGTTTGAATCAAAAATGTCCCAGGAGTGTTTAAAAGTTTATGGAAAAATATCTATACCTCATAAAAAAAATGGTCAATCTGGCAACACATCTTATAATAAAATATAAATTAGAAAACTTTCAAAAATTGTCTTCTCTTCTACAAATATTTTCATGGCATCTGCTCTGACAAACTATTTTCACTGGCACCCCAACTGCATGAATTTAAACATGCTACTAAGTTGGCATCTCCATCCCACCCTTTTACTGTTGAAGCAGTTAAATGTAATCCCCTCTTCCATTCTAACAGCTTCTTCTCTTGTAGTTCCAGACAAAATATCTAACTATTCATCATATTTTGATTAGAATTCAACAGAGAAATATTAAATATGAATGCAGTCGTACAAACATCTGTAGGTTATCCTATCTGGCTTCACTGAACACCCGTTAGGTGGCACTGTTTAAGTTCTATAAAAAGACAAACATTTCCTTCCTCTTCCTCCAAGATGGAGCAGAACGTATATATGAGGATGTCCCTGCTGGAGCATATTTGTTTTTCTGGTCGCCTGAACTCTTACACACACATATGCAAGCACATTCGTAATAGCTAAGTTTTTAATGTCTTTTCCTTTCCTTTCAGCTGTGTAATTTCTTTTTGTTAATACATGCATTAATTGTTGTTTCTAAAAACAATGTTTTGTGTCTTGTTTTTATCTGGACTCACATGAATCCATACACTGAGGTATTTGAAGTGTTTGGTATTTACTAATTCCATACCTTGAATTTTTATGATGAATTCAGGGTATTTGTCTTTGCAGGTTAGCACACTTGGCTTTGCTAAACACCCATTAGGTGGCACTTTTGAAGCCTATAAAATGACAAACATTTCCTTTCTCCTTCTTTTACTTCATCTTACTCCAAGATATACTAAAACATGGTTGGGAATAACCCCACTAGAGCACGTTTGTTTCTTTGGTCCACTGACAACTAAACTCACACATACACAGACATACACTCATACACACATGTGTGTATCAAACACACAGACAAATATATTCTAAATAGCTAAGTTTTTAATGTCTTTTACTTCCTTTCAACTGTTCACACATTGGTGCAATTTCTGTCTGATAATACATGCATTGTTCATTTAAAACCCATGGTTTGTTCATTAGTTTTACTCAGGCTCACGAGTCTACCAAATATTGTTTGTGAGGCAAATGTACCAGGAGATATTAAATACTTACTGAAAAACTTTCACACTGCACAACAAAAGCAGTAATTGTTTTTCATTTGATGATACTGTTCTTAAAAATGCTATTAATGCAAATCTGCCGAGGAAAACGTTATTAATGTAAATCTGCTTTTGAATATTTTATTCATGCAAATCTGCTTTTGAATACTTTATTCATGCAAATCTACCTGTGAATACATTATTCATGCAAATCTGCCTTTGAATATTTTATTCATGTAAATCTACCTTTGAATACTATATTCATGCAAATCTGCTTTTGAATACATCATTCATGCAAATCAGGTTTTGAATACATTATTCATGCAAATCTACCTTTGAATACTATATTCATGCAAATCAGGTTTTGAATACATTATTCATGCAAATCTACCTGTGAATACATTATTCATGCAAATCTACCTTTGAATACTTTATTCATGCAAATTAGCCTTTGAATACTTTATTCATGCAAATCTGAAAATCCGCCTTTGAATATTTGCATAAAATGAATTTTTCCTTTGATTTCCTTCCTTTTATGTTTTCTTTTTTCAAATAGTATTTATATTGTGTCAATTTGTAAACAGATCGACTTACCAGCACAATCCACAAAACACAGTCTATTATCAAATTCTGAACCACTCCCCATCCTCCAGTAGATACACATATTTTTTTCTTTTACTAGAGTCTAATGTTTTGCTGTAAAACAGTTAAGATTATGTCAAGACCATCTGGTTTTCATTACAATATCACAGACAAGTTGATATTCATATGTAAGTATGGTGGGTGCATATATATGCATATTTGTGCACAAATGTACACACACACACACACACACGTATACACACACACACATATACGTATATACACTATAAGCCGAAAGTTTAGATGGGGGGGCACCCTTCAAATTTAAGAATTACTAAATTTCATATGTTCTTTGGTTTTAATTAATTCTGAATGACTTTGGACAAGCATAGCCTATAGGTCTTGTCAGGTCATCCTTCTTTGGACATTATGGGCTGGTGCTATAGAAACACAAGCAAAGAACTGTACCAAATAACAGAAACCACATCACTTGAGGACTACCAACAGCAGCAACAACTAAAATGGATAGCACATGTAACTAAAAGAGAAAATAATGGCATAATGAAGATGTTGACATAAGTAAAGGAGAAAAAGAAATTGAATATAGAACAGCCTGTGACAGAGACAGTTTCACCCAAACCCCACAAGTTGCTACAAAAAAAAATATCAACCTGAAAACATGTGGCTCGTGAGTTGCAATTTGGCCACCTCTGATACAGATGTCACACATGGCGCCAAATCCATTTAGAAATAGAAAGCAAGAAGAAAAGACTAACCTTCCTTTCTCTAAGAAGACAGAATGTATGGTTGTTGGTTTTCCCTCTCAGTATAGAAATATCAATGGTGATGCAAAGGCATTGATTATAGTGATAATGAAGCTTTGACCCTGAAATCATACCTGATCTCAAGGTCGTTACCTGATGAAGGTTTTGGTTGTGGTACTGTTTCTATTTTTGCAACAGTAAACATTTTCCTGGGCAAGGAAACCAACTGGTAATTTTGTTAAATAACAACCCTTTCAGAGGGAGTTTCGCCCAGTAACGCAAATTGTTTCAAAACTAAAAATGCCAACCTGAAAACTCGAGCCATATTCTTAAATAGCCTCATCAGATTGAGGCTTTCATATGGATGCCATGCATGGCACCAAACCTGTTCAGAAATATCTAGACTTTCAGTTGTATACAACCACTCTCTAAGATCAATGGCAAAAAAGGCTTTGGTCAAAGTGAGTTAGTAAATTTTAAAAAAATATGTAACCATGTAACCATCAATTTTTAGGCAATTTAGCTTATAGTTTATACATACATACACACATATACAGGAGTTGGACAAAATAATTGAAACAGTTGCAAAATCCACTCCTATATTTCAAGGACCTATTATATTAAAAACTTTAACTAAAACTTCGTAATTGCAGGTTATATCTATTGTAATTACGTTTATTTATCTAATTTACTGTCTTTGTCTTATTTATGTTTAGAATTTAGTAAAATTTAAGCTAAATGCGTGACCTCTCCGAGTTCGGAAAAGAGCAAATTGTTGGAGCTCGCATGGCAGGAGCCTCGATCACTAAGTTTGCTGAACTGTTAGGTTTTTCAAGAGCTACCATATCAGGAACACTGATGCAATTCGAGAAGCAGGGTAATACCTCTAGCAACCGTAGCAATTCGGGCCGGACTTGCAAACTTACTGACAGGGACTGACGTGCGTTGAAACGCAATGTGGCAAAAAATCATCGGACAAATGCGGCCAAAGTGACTGCTGAGTTGAATAACCATCTGAATAGTTCAGTTTCTACTAAAACTGTTCACCGTGAGCTCCATAAGGCTGCATATCATGGAAGGGCCGCTGTGAGGAAACCTCTTCTCTCCACTCGCAACATTCAAAAGACGTTGAAGTGGTGCACAGATCACAATACCTGGTCTGCAGACCAATGGAAGCAAATCATATTCTCAAACAAGTCCAGTTTTTCTCTTTTCCCAACTTCAGGGTGAGTTTATGCGTGGAGGCAGCCCAAAGAAGCTTACTAACTGCCTTCTTCCAACAGTGAAGCATGGAGGTGGATCAATGACAATTTGAGCCGCCATATCATGGAAATGTCTCAGTCCAATAGTTGCCCTGCATGGTAGAATCAACAGCAAAGATTACCTGAACATTTTGGGAGATCATGTTCATGCAATGGCCAAGACTTTATTCCCTGATGGTGACTGCATCTTCCAAACGATAATATGCTCCGATACATACCGCTCAAGTGGTTAAGAATTGGTATGAAGAGCATGAAAGTGAACTAGAACACATGGAGTGTGCTTCCCAATCTCAAGATATCAATATTATTCAACATCTGTGGTGCATTTTGGAGCAACAAGTTAGGAGCCGCTATCTTCCACCGTCGTGTCGTAAAGAGCCGGAGAAGATTTTAATGGAAGAATGACTGAAAATTCCTCTGGATGAAGTCAGGAAGCTGTATGATTCCATTCCTAGATGTATTAAAGTTGTCTGTGAGGCTAAAGGAGGATCAACTCCATATTAAATAAATTTTCTTTGAATTTAACAAGTGTTTCAATTATTTTAT